AGCATTTCAACTGCAGAGGTTGAGGGGAGGAAGTCATGCTCACAAATGAAAATCTTTTTCATCTGTGGAAATTACTGGTGGATCAAGTACTTTATGTTTCCTTTGCATATACAGAATGCTTCTGTCCCTAAAATCCCATGTCTAGATGAAGAATTGCACACCCTTTCCAAAATGACCCCCACCCACCTGTTCAGTCAGGAACCTGAGGTAGCAGGTTACGAATGAGAGGATTTTAGTGTCTAGCCATAAATGGTAACAAAGCTGAGGCTGCAGGAAGAGGCTTTAGGTTAAGCCGTATCCTGAGGATTTACAGCAAGGGCAACAAGGTTCAGATAAGTTTCTAAGTGACTGAGACGTTCATCCTCAGCATGACTCTTAGTTATGTGGCATAATAAGTGACATGCTGGACAGCAGGCCATGCCAGGAGAATAATCTAGTCATTCACATACTGCAGGAAGCTCCACACTGCTTAAAGCACAATGAGACATCCCTCTGGATATATAGGCTAGGAAGCCACTGTTGATGTGCCACTGATCTGTATCATATTTTGTTGAGAACAGCATTTCAGGGAATAATAAATATCTTCCAAAGCACATTTAATTGCACTATTAAAGGAAGATTTTGCCCTCAAAAAAAGAAATATATACAGTTCTGAATAAACCACAACCAAGAAAAAAGTACAAGAAAGCACCGTGGACAATGCACTCCAATCTGAGGTGCAATCCACACCCTGCTTAAGTCAATGGCAATTTATTTGAATGAGACAAAGTGACAAGGTTCACACTGATACATCAAGCATCTAAGGAAGGACAAATGAGAGGGCAAGAGGGTTCATGTAATCCGTTCAGTTCCACAGAGGACACCAGGAGTTCACACTGCCACCACAAAGCTGAAAAGTGAACCAGCTGCCAATAATTTATTTTTTATTCTATCCTATCCTTTCTCTGTGGTTGAAGGCTGAAAAATATTTTTAGTAAACCAAACCTTCAAAAATATAACATATGAAGGAATAACATCCTCCTAATGAAAATAAAATCCCACTTAACCATGCCCTTCCCAGAACTCAACATGACCTAATATTCATTTTCAGGCATCCATAAATCCATTCACCAGAAGTGGCCCTGGACCTCTGGCAAGAAAAACACCCAGCAGCAACCCCCCACCCCCGCAAGCTCACAGATACACTGCAGTTCAAAGAAGGTAACAAACCTTCATACAGTACCACTTTCTCCAAACATTAGTGCAAATTAGACAGTCACATTTCTCCTTCAAGCTCTTTGGGAACATGCAGTTGATTCAAGAGAAAGGCAGGGATTTCTCTCATTTGCACTGTGGCATAGTGGTTGTAAGAGACTCCCACTATCTATTCTTCAAAATTTGGCAAAAGAGCAGATTTTCCTTCTCTTGTATGTGTACAACAGAGGATATGGAGGAGGGGTTGGTACAAAGCAGGAACAGAGGTAGACTGATAAGCCAAGCAATATTTATGGGCTCTTTTTACTTTAGTAAAGGTAAAGGTTCCCTTGCTCGAAAGCCAGTCAAATCTGACTCTAGAGTTGCGGTGCTCATCTCCGTTTCAAAGCCGAAGAGCCAGCGCTGTCCGAAGACGTTTCCGTGGTCATGTGGCCGGCATGACTAAACACCAAGGCGCATGGAACGCTGTTACCTTCCCACCGAAGTGGTACCTATTTATCTACTTGCAATTTCTTGCTTTTGAACTGATAGGTTGGCAGGAGCTGGAAGTAGAGACGAGAGCTCACTCCGTCATGCGGCACACTTGGGTCTCGAACTGCTGAAATACCGACCTGCCAGAGCCTACAGTTCAGCGTCTTAACCACTTGAGCCACCGCAGCTCCTTTTTACTTTACCAGCTCCTATTAATGGCACAAAAAAGTGAAAGATAAATAGTACCACCAATCAGAAAAGGAAAAGGGTCATGATGATATTCTCCTGGATTCCACCTTCTGTGTCCACAATTACAAAAGAAAATGGCTTTGCAAGATCCCACAGGTAAGCAGAAATTGGAATTAATCCTGGAAAAGGTATTATTTCAATTAAAGAGCTATCTGCTTTGACTTACTCCGACCCTTCCACTACTACATCTTCCTCGGAAGATGATCCTGTTTCTTCCAAGTCCCGAGCCATCTCAGCTGGCATTGCCTGTACACGTTTTCATAGAGCCCCAAAACAGTGGCCTCTCAGATACTTCCCTGCAGAATTGGTAGGTCTAGCCAGTGCAGTTTTCTGTGGACGAAACAAAAAAACTTGAGCAAAGCAACTTTACATGTATAGCAACCTTGCAATGTTTC